ACAAGTGCTCTCAAGGAGAAGGGGTTGTTTGACAACACACTCATTCTGTTTACAGCTGATGTAAGGAAACAAATACTAAGACGATACAGATTACATCCTGAACAAAGATATGTTGAAAAGGGTCACCCGAGAGTACATTGCCAATCATTGGCATTCGTATAAATACCCGAAATGTATGTATGATCTTAACTGTGTGTGCAACACAATCTTATTTTACAGATCAATTACACTTCACTATACTGACGAACAGTAAGAGATATATATTATCATTCAAAAGGAGAGTTTTATATCACTTCAGAATGGCGGTCCTGTAGAAGTGTATGCCAGCAACTGGCCTCTAAGAGGAGGAAAGCACACAATCTGGGAGGGGGGCACGAGGGGGACATCCTTCATGTATGGCGCCGGACTGAAGAAAACCAAAACAACTTATAACGGGTTTGTAGATGTCAGCAATATAAGCGATTATGTCATCGTCATATCAAAAGAGAATGTATAATTCTTGATAATATTGCTTTACATCACATCGGTAAATTTCGATATTCTGGAGCTATTTCTGGAGCTAATGGTGACTGGTTGAAGATCCTAGGCAGCATGAGTATAGACCATCTTTAGCAGTCCGGTAATCACAGACCCATGTCATTACAGAATAATGCATGCTGTAGACTGGAAGCCCACCTTGGTATCAGCGGCTGGCGGATCTCCTGGTAATAACCCCACCCAACTTATTACCGATTCTTTTAAATTCATATGGGTTTTTTTCTAGTATTTGTTTTCATTTATGAAATCCATTTACTTTATCATTCAACTTTTGTAGAGACGACAATCGATGGAATAAGTCACTGGGAATCCATCAGGAATGGCAATCCATCGTCCAGAACCGAATTCATATACAATCTTGACGACTTTGAACCTGTAATGGAGGGTCATGCTGGAATAAGGCAAATGCTTTTATGTATTTAATTACAAAAATAATTTAGTAACAACTGTCCTTGGCACCTTGATAATCGCCAGCACCTAAAGTGATGATGTAACTCGAGCTGCGGTTTAAGCAGATAGTAGTTTATTGTAAACCAAAACTGGTCCCTGGAATGGTGATTTACCTTCAGTTCCTAGCGATCTATAGCCTGATTGTGTTTACATGTTATCGTTCTCTATTTTAATGAAAACATGCTGAGTTTCCATAAATTCAAAATGTTGTACAGTAAATGATCCTGTGTGGTGTTGTTTGTTGATAGGGTTGGAGACTACAAGTTGATACTGGGCTATCCAGGGACACCCGATGGCTGGCACGAGCCTATGAACAAGACAAAGAATGACATTTATGATTCCATCACATACCTCAAGGGCGACTTCCCAGCTCGTCTGTACAATATACGATGTAGGTGCAAAACAGAAACAATTACCTATTGACTATAAACGTATTTGTAAAATTGTAAGGAGGATTTACCTTTCTCAAAATATATACGAAAATGTATATTTTCAAATATGTGTCCATAATCTGTGCAAACGCAATAAGTCCATGCACACATGCTATTTGTCATTATGTTAATAACCCCTTGTCTGTCTACAGCGGATCCCACTGAGCGTTACAACCTCGCACCTAAGAAGCCGGACATTGTCGACCAACTAAGAGCCCGGATTGAAGACTATCGGAAGCAGATGGTCCCCGCCCTCTACCCTCCTGGTGATCCTGCATCTAACCCTAAAAACTTCGGGAACGTCTGGAGCCCCGGATGGTGTTGACCTTCAGAGTAGTTATATGAAATAAACGGAGCAATGATGACTCGACCTGAATAGAATAATCTGTAACAATAATGTGATGCTGATTGAAGATCATTCCTTTGAAATAGTACGTAACAATGTTTTGTTTGAAATTCATTTTGATATGGTACATGTAAAATAAATAGATGCCAGTTTCCCGTGTCTGTATTTTACTGATATCTTTGGCGATTTGTGTTAAACGCCTCTTTGAAAACATAAAGTATATGTTTAGCACTTTGATGTAAACACCAAACGTGAAAAACCGTGGCACATTAAAAGAGCTTGTCACGAAGTGGCAGCTTCTCACCGTACCATACCACACCGTTCCGATCGTCGATAGGATAAACGTTGCAACTATTTTGAGTGCTGGATTGACCATGTCAGCTAAATGTGTGAAACTGACTTTGGGCGTTCTTCGAAGTTATGAAATACAACACCAAAAAGGAACTAATAATTAGACTGACACAAAATAATTATGGTCAACCAAACAAACACCTTCGAATAAACAGATCACATGGGGAATAAAAGGCAAACTAGTGATAAAACATGTGTAACAAATAGAAATTTGTTGTCAGATTCGAATGTATGTCATATCTCGAATGCATGTGCTTCTAAATCACTGTCAGTTGGTGACACGCTACACATCCCTTCGTCCAGTGCATTTACTAACAATGTCTCGGAGATAACAGGGTCTCTAGGGTAAGGTTAAGATAACACGAATATGTGTGAGTCTCAAGATTATATATAGAGAATTCTTGATTTTACCTTACATTGTAAATGAGATGGTATGAGGGTATACTCTTTTGCTTTTTACTGATATCGTCTCCTTTCCCAAGTGTATACTCTATTGTAAGTAATCAGTAAACATCGAGCGATAGCGAATTTCGATATGTCAGCATTAAGGCCTCCAAACATAGCAGTTTCACCTTGAGCACATAGTGAGTCATTCACATCAAATAACTCATCAGTGTCCTTGTCGTCTATTGATATCAGGCTCATATAGGAATGCGACAGCAGATAACATACATATCACTTTCATCATGGGACGATGTAATCTCACAGCTCTAGCACAGTTAGAGGAGCTAGGGAAATCTTCATTCAACCATTCCAAAGGTCCGATATTGTGAACCTCATTCAACCTGTCCACATCATCCATCTAAATGACGGCAGCCTGTAAATAATCGAGTCTGGACCAGACAATCCCGTGACTGACACCATGAACACCTCTCTACATAATTGGGATGCAATGACATGTGTCAACCAAGTCAGCGAATCTGACCGCCCTACCCTTTATGGTTGTTGAAGACCATTTCCAGCCTGGATCGTCATGGGCATCTTTACTATGCTAACATCATAGTAACACAGTATAATTCATTGCATAAAATAAATGTCATGTCACACGTTTTAATGGGTGGGTATATAAGGAACGCATGGAATACAATAAACTTGAAAATGTAGGATGATTGGTTTGTATATGGCAAGAACATTCAACATGCAAATCATCAAGCACAGGACATACAGAGAAAAAGATGATAGACCGTAGTTATTGCATAGTTTACCAAATATACGTTCTTAATATGTGTTTATCATCCCTGTTCATAGTTATGAGCATACGATGAGCACCTTTTTTCAAAAAGGAGTTTGCATGACATTTACATGTTGATGAGAACAATAGTCCTTAGGTCATAACTCTATTTACACGCCCTTTAGTATTTGGGTTCACGATATCGCACCTTCTGACATTTCATAGCCAATTAAAATCTACCACATTTAACTTACGACCTGCATTTGGTGTAATCACACTCACAAAATATGGTGACATAGGCATTAAATCTTTCAAAAAGGTCTGACTGTGTAATACCACACAACAAAATATGATTTAGTTTTGTCCAAATAACCTAAACATGAACGTCTTTTTTCACCAATTATTTCTTCGGCTTTCAGAAAGTCAAAGATCTTATCCTGAACAGCAACTGGTGTTGAATGGATTTCCGTGAAATGCTGGAAAATGTCTTATGTGTATAATACACACTTGTTTTTCCTCATTTCAAGATGTTAGATGCGGAGATCCCAGAGGCAGCTCTTTTACAGTTACAGGTATGAAAATGAAGTTTTCGTGAGATGATGTGTAGTTGCTGACAAAATACCCCAAATATAATTATTCACTAACCCTGTTACAATGAAGAGGTTTTATAAGCTAACATAATCGTAACCAAACAAACTGCAATTGGTTAGTTGCGTTCTGGTTGAGGATTACATTTTAAGGGACCTTTTAAGGTCCGGGGTAGAACTGATCTTCAGTAACCCATGCTTGTCGTAAGTGGCGACTAACGGGGTCGGGTGGTCAGGCTTGTTGACTTGGTTGACACATGTCGTCGTATCCCAATTGCGTATATCGATTCTAAGGCTGTTGATCACTAGATTGTCTGGTCCAGACTCGATTATTTACAGATATCATCTTGGATTGACATATCCACCCAACGTCAACAATCTGGACGATTCACCTTCTACTGCGGGAAGTGAAGTTCATTGTGCAATGTCAATCCTGAGGCCCAAAGGTCCCTTTGAAAATTCGTATGGTACAAAAAAAACTCACCTGTGCATGAAATTGGAAAATTTGAAAAGATGCGTTCGGTTTCTAATATCAAATTTACCGGGATTCTTTAAATGTAAAAGTCAGTTTATTTGTAATCACAGCACGTGTACCTCCTAAATCATATTTAAAACACGTGCATATATGAACAATTCAAACAACTTAGTGCTGGTCGACCTATACATGATTGTAGAAAAACAAGAGGCATTACATTTAAGACATGTAGCTAGCTGCTAGTGCACTGAGAATGTCAGCATGTGCTGGAAAATAAACGGAATGGCTTCCGAAATTTGGACTTAGATTAACATATCAGACACGGAGCATTACATCCACTGAAACAGAAGTCAAAACTTAAACATCTTCCCAGCATGTTAATGTGCACAAATCATATCCATGTGTATTTATCTGGTTGATTACCGGGCAAAGGTCATCGAATGAATACAAGTCCTCTGGGGTGTGTTCATGTATCTATGACCATAGAAATGGAGAAGTTCATCCCTGTGTTCCTCTCGATTTTTGTGTCCTGTGCACGTACAGCGAACCAGACATGGAGTCTACTGGAATGTAAGCAAGTTAAGTACAGACGTACTGACACACCTAAGCTGCTACATATCACGTTATACATGCATATATACCTGGATGATAAGCGAGTGAAGGTCATCCTATGAATATAGCAAGTACCTCTGCGGTGTTTTCATTTATCAATGACAGTGGGAATGGAGAACTTCATCCTTGTGTTCCTCTCGGTTCTTGTGTCTTGTGCGGCAGTACAACCCCCCAACATTGTCTTCATAGTTGCAGATGATTTAGGTTAGTAGGTTAACTTTGTGTACAACGTGACTATCCACACCTATTCGTTGTAATTCTTCGTTATATGACAGAATCATAAATGTATGCATCAGCAGAATGGAACATAGGGGATTCTGGTAATCGTTTATCACTGTTAGTTTTAAGCATTCGTTTCTACATTTACACATACAAACAAATTTGAAATGATCACAAATGTCTGATCTATAAACACAGACTTTTGAAGGTAAAACAACAGTTCGTACCTCGAGGTCTGCTTTACAATACATATTCACATAAAATAACAGGAAACGTATGCTTTATCAAGCAGATGTACTTATAACTTGGTCTTACGCATGTGGATTTAATGGGGAGATATTTGACACATCGTTTCAGATTGACATCGTAGATTACGTCAATTGTCCTAACTGTTTAACGAGTATATCAGGGATATGGAGTGTCATTCGTTGAATGGTATTCTATTTATCAGCTAGATAATAACAACATGCCAAAGGCCAAGGTAAACGTAAAGAGAAAGAAAGAAGGTAAGGTGAAATTGGGTTTAACGTCGTGCTTGAGAATATTTCGCTCATATGACCACGTGCATGCGTGTGTATGTGTATGTGCGGCTCCTTGTACTAGCCCAGACTGAAGCTGGTTTTATAGTGCTAGCCCACTGAGATACCATGCCGCAGTGAAGCATGAATACCCCACTCAGACACAGTATACTGACTCCGAGCCGACCAGTCCTTGTTGTACCCATTAATGCCGAGCGTCAGGCAGGGACCAACAAGTACCATGTTTTAACGTTTTTTTGGTATGACGCGGTCGGGCATTGAACCCGCGACCTTCCGCTCTCCGGGCGGACGCTCTAACCACTACACCACGGCGGCGGTAGAGAAAGAAAGAAAGTTGAACTTTACACTTCAATGAGGTACAAAAATTAAACCAATACTGACTTTACGGCCCTTTTTGCAATATTCCAACAATAAACACGGGACTTCGTCGTGACGAACGAACGCTTTAACCACTACTCTAGGCTTCCGCAATCCCTCCCACCCCCCCACCCAGAGGTTACTCGGATAGCAGATAACATGCAGGCTTATATGGGACACATGTACCGTAAAAACGACTAAATGTTGCACTTCAGTGATGGTTAGGCATATTTAATAATAGCATGTCAATTTTCATTACAATAAGGATGGCACGATGTTGGTTTCCGAAACCCGCACATGAAGACTCCTAACATCGACAAACTGGCAACAGAGGGGATCATCTTTGAGAGTGCATATGTCCAGCCCTATTGTAGCCCGTAATTATCATTTGTTTTTTGCTAAAGACCGTAAATTTGTACTTCGAAATAATCGCACCTTGCAAGTTCCATCTATATGTCATGAAAACATCCAACGTTAATGCATGTATTCAAAAAGTGGATTATCGACATGACATCATTTTGAAAATGCCCACTGTGGTTGTAAGTATATGTTATGTTAGGTACATCATGGTTCTTCTCAACCCCCTACCATGGTTTACAGGTCCCGCACGGCCTTCATGAGTGGAATGTTTCCATTCAAGGTGGGCATGCAGGTAAGTGAAAGGAAATATTGCTTCATTCATATTTAAATTGAGCATGATTAACTTTAATGATGATGGAACCAAAGACTTTCCATGAAATCGGATTTCAACTGTTGCGGCTATTGAAATTGATACTATGATTTAAAAGAATTTTGCATATGTATTTGACAGCACAACGTTCTAAGCGATGTTCAGCCCGCTTGTGTGCCTCTCAACTACACCTTCCTGCCTCAAGAGTTGAAGAAACTCGGCTACGCTACGCATATTGTCGGCAAGTATGTCTCGCAAACTGATTATGGTAGAATATTTCGGCAGAGAGCGAAATTGTTTTACTGATTGTGCAGTGTGCACCTTTTTCAAACAAATTCCAGGGAAGAATTGAATCGCAAATACCTAATAGATACATGGATATGAACATCTGCAGAAAATTTAAGTTTTCAATAAATGATCAAGATTAAAGTATATCCATGTTTCACTATGTACCAAGCAAGACCCTTCCACTGTCAGGTGACGTAATCGGACGCTGGACACTGACGTAATCGGTATGGATCAGACCAAAGTAGAATTGATACATGTATATGAATGCTTGCAAATAACTGTATTAATTGATAAATGATCAAAAATTAAAATTTCAGCATCAGTTCCATGTTTCACTATGCTGAACCACCCGATACCCTTCCACTGTTTTTGTTTTCAAGGTGGCACCTGGGTTTCTGTAAATGGGAGTGTACACCAACGTACAGAGGGTTCGATACTTTCTTCGGTTACTACAGTGCATCGGAGGACTACTTCAATCACAGCAAGGGCAAGTACATTAATACCAGCAAGACACGCTATCAGTATATTTCATCAAAGTCAGTCAGGCAGTTTTGAATCATGTCCTTAAACCCCTGTCGGTGATGCCGACAGGAAGGGATTCTATGAAAAAGAATGTATTATGTACACTTAACATAACAAACACTTATTCTTACATAAGGTTTTAATCAGTCGTATATGAGTCATTCTCAAAAGTTGCAGCTATTTGGTGTACAAAAGACAACATAATTGAAATACAAAATCGTCGATCTTTATTTTGACAGATAGCAAGATACGTTGTTAAGGTTCACAAACCAATAGTATTTGAGGCTTAATTATGTGCCACATTTTTATGAAGACTAATTAAACTAATTAGGACGAAGACACAATGTCTTTCCTGTAACAACAGTAGTATCCACATTTTTCTTAAAAATACATTGATATGTAAAGATATTGTATTGTAAATTCTACTTTATGTGTTATTTTGTTACTCACACTTAAAAAATCAGTTCTAATATTGGATTTGTATTAAATAAACCTGTTCTACACTGTGTCAGATTAAAAAGTGAAATCTGTGGGTACTTTGCAATACTCTTGATATCTTTTCAACTGTCTCCCCTAAAATATCATTGCACTGAAGGTAATTTGAAGAGAACATTTTGATATTTCTGAGTGATTTCGTACAATGTCTTACTCTTTAGATCATAAAACATTTACTTCTTAGTCCCCTTATATGAAAGACAGTAGCGTTATGCCAAAGACACCCTATGTTATTGGAAAGAAAGTATATCAAATATATTTGAAAAACTATCTAATTGTAGCAAATATCTTTGATCTATCTTCAATGAAAGGAATAGTTTTTTGCCTGTTACCCTTAGTTGTATAGTAAGTGTTACATGTTATATTTATATCTCCAAATAAGGCGAGTAACAATGACATGTTTGTTACAGAGAAGACAATTCAATCGTATATTTGAGTTAGGATAAGAATACATCTATGGCAGTGAAGATAAGATAGGTTCACATTAATCAATTTATAAACGTATTGATTTTACCACACTTGAAGTGCAAAATATATTTTGGAAGTTAGCCAGTGTGTTACCCCAAAGACATGTCAGTGTTACTGGAAAGACATTTCAGATCAAGTTGATGGAAGACAAAAAAGAATTAAATTCTGGTGTTCAATAAAGACTTTAGACAGTGTGCTTTGAATAAACAACAATAAAATTAGCAGTTACCATTTTGAAATTTGTTTTCTAGGAACTCAGAAACTCATTTCAGAACAAGTTTGACTGTAATTGCAATAAATTTATCAAACTGTCAAAAAGGTTTGCAACTAGCAAAAGTATCCAAGTTTGGATCACATTCCTGAAACTGTCAAACAGGCTTGCAACCAACAAAAGTATCCAAGCTTTGATCATCTTCCTCAAACTGTCAAAAAGTTTTGCAACTAACAAAAGTATCAAAGTTTTGATCATCTCCCTCAAACTGTCAAAGTAACAAATCAATTATTAAAATTAATCTTCGCATTTGTCATACCCATCTTGCCAGTTCTGAGAACCATACAGAAGTGAATATTTCTTTGAAATTTTGTTTCAGATTATGGCACATTAACTTTAGATAGCAAACCAGAAAGACAAAAATGAAGGATATTTAGTATTAAACTGTCTTTGCAGTAACAACATAAGTCTTTTAAGTAACAGCTATTTGAAAGACATATAGCATACAAATATTTTGGGAAAACGTGAATTGTTACTCAAAATATAATTTTAAAGGTCCTAATATGAGCACATAGCAAATCTAGATGACCAAAGACCTACCAGAGATAATGTTTATTTTCAAATTTGTATTAAATTGTCTTTGCAGTTACAGAATTTGTCTTTCCAATAACGACCTTTGACAAAACTTAGTATGATAGCCTTCAGACAAGAAAGTGTAAAACATGTTTCAGCCTCAGCATATATAGACCTTAGATAATTACCACAAGTCAACTGTTAATGACATTGACATTAACATAAAAGAATATGTGACTAATCAATATTGATGTTTCTTTGACGTAACATTGAAGGTCTTTCCAATAACAAAAGAGCTGTTACAGAAAAGACTGGTTATATGAAAGACAAATTGTAAGAGTAAATTAAGAGAAAAATAATGACTAGTCCCTTTCCCATTTCAGACAACATTCTTATGTTATAATTATGGTTCCGTGGGAAACTGGGTATTTTGTAAATAATTGATGTTATCTAAAAGACACCAATAAAAAATACTCGCAAAGGCTGACCTTTAAACTTGATTTTCTTTGAAACAACACCACATGTTCATCACTCTCAACCAGAAGTTGTTAATAAGCATAACATGTAGTTCCACTTTCACAGGATGAGGGATCATTAATTATTTCATAATTCTATGGAACTGTTACAGGAAAGACATTTTTCTTGTAACAAGAGAAAAAGGTTGTTTTTTTTTATATCAAAATTCAACTTGTAAATCATGAACATCTACCAGTAATGAGAAAAAGGTCTATTCTTTTCAACCACTCCAGAAACAATACCTTTTTATATAAAATTTAGTGCACAGGAGATACATGATGTTAGGTTTTTGCACCTGGATACATGACAAAATGCATGTCCCTCGTTACAAAAAAGGAAAAAATAAATATTATTTGGTCCTTTAGTTTGTGATAAAAAATTCCCAAGTAAGATTAGATGTAGAAATCAGACTTTTAACACACTGATAAAATTTGACGGTTTTATGGAGGTTTTAATCCTGATACGGGAAAAAGCTGCATCTTTTGAGAATGACTCATATCGTATTTGTCCCAGTTAATTGAGTGATTTGCTTTTGAAATATATGTTGATGGACCTCAGCTTAATGTCATCGCCTGCGTGACTATGTAGAATTTCTCCTGACTAAATGTCTTCCAGTAACAGTTTTTCAAGTTTCTTTGAACTGACAAAATATGTTTGAGCATAAATACTTGCTTCATAAATTATAGGGGTGTGAGTCATTTTAGCTGAAATAAGTCGCTATATAACTTGTCAAATTCAATAATTTAACCCATCGTCCTACTTGTATTTCAATGCAGGTAAATCAGGAATGTGCTTAGGCGCTCGTCACGGCTGCTTGTCAATAATGCCATAATAAATAGAGAATAGATGAGAAATACTCGTAGGGATATATTTTGTCCATATCAGATTTCACTTATGTATTTTCAGGTGCCAATTTGGACTACCGGGATAACAAACTTCCCGCTTGGGATTACAGGGGAGAGTATTCAGCTGTGAGTAACGTGCAAACAAGTGACCAAACAAGATGGATAAATCAACATTGAACAGCTGTGACATTCATAACTAAAGTAACCGTCATTCTTGCTATCCACTGATACTCACTCCGTACCTGTGCTGAGGGGATAATTTTTACAGAACCTAATGGCTATGTATCAGTATCAATACAACGACAGAATTGTCTGGCCCTGAACCTAATCGTCACAGGCGGTAGCGAACATACTACATCACGCAACACACAAAATGCAACACTGTATGATAAGTAACTCATTCTGTCTCTCTGTTTCAGTATACATTCACCCAGAAAGCTATTGACATTATCAACCAACACAACGTCTCCCAGCCTCTGTTTATGTACCTGCCCTATCAGAATGTACATGGTCCTATTGAGGTAAAGTATACTGTCTTTCAACTTGTCCCCTTGCAGCTTTATGACACTTGAAATGAAATGAACACATCCACAGGGTACAAATTGTTCAGACATTTTATTTACGTTTTCACAAGAAATGTGTCTGCATAAAACATTATCAAATATCTTAAATGTTTACCTCTTCATGGAGAAAGCTGCACAATTCATCACAGTGTCAGTTTCTCACCATTCTGTATTCAGGTTCCCGAAAAGTACTACAACATGTACCCTAACGTGTTAAACGAAGGCCGCAGAACATTTTCAGGTAATATGACCTTCTTTAAACCTCTTTAGAGGACAGATCGATTGCCCCGATGTGTCCTTGATAATGGGGTTAAAGAATAGTACATGAAGCGTCTCCACATTAAGGAGGTAAATACAGGATGTGCAGTGTCTGGACTTGGTCTAACAGCCATGTTCATCCAGTTGACTTTTTTAAATAATCACCTCAAGCAACTTCATAAAATATTTGAAACGGGTTTTCTTGTAAAAATACAGCTTCTTTATGATTACGCTATTTGTCATATTGAATTATAGGTCAAGAATATCAGGATTTAATGTGAAAAAAAACATTCCTGTACATTTAATAGAATTTGAGGTGAGGTGAAATTGGGTTTAACGTCGTGCTTGAGAATATTTCGCTCATATGACCACGTGCATGCGTGTGTACGTGTATGTGCGGCTGCTTGTACTAGCCCGGACTGAAGCTGGTATTATAGTGCTAGCCCACTGAGTTACCATGCCGCAGTAAAGCATGAATATCCCACTCAGACACATTATACTGACTCCGAGCCGACCAGTCCTTGATGTATCCATTGATGCCGAGCGCCAGGTATGACGCAGTCGGGGATCGAACCCGCGACCTTCCGCTCTTCGGGCGGACGCTCTAACCACTATACGACAGGGGCGGTAAATAGAAGTTGAGATAAAAGGTAAGGGCATACATGTATATGGACTATGTGACTCGTCCTCAGGATACCATCTGAAGGAACCAGCACATTCACAGGAAGGTTGCAATCATGGTGTGAAATCAGGTGGTTGAATTATAAATTAGAATCACTTATGACAAAACCAAACTTAAGATACGAGTTTTTGATGATATTTTCTCTTTTTAGGAATGGTGTCTGCCCTCGACGAAGCTGTTGGCAACGTAACAAGTGTTCTCAAGGAGAAGGGGTTGTTTGACAACACACTCATTCTGTTTACAGCTGATGTAAGGAAAGTGATACTAAGATCATACAGTCTAGATCCTTAACTAAGATATGTTGAAAAGGGTCACCCGAGAGTACATTGCCAACCAATGGCATTCGTACAAATATCTGAAATGTATGTATGTGTGCAACACAATCTTATTTTACAGATCAATTACACTTCACTTTGCGGAGGAACAGTAAGAGATATACACCATCATTCAAAAGGGTACTTTTATCACTTCAGAATGGCGGTCCTGTAGAAGCCTATGCCAGCAACTGGCCTCTAAGAGGAGGGAAGCACACAATCTGGGAGGGGGGCACGAGGGGGACATCCTTCATGTATGGCGCCGGACTAAAGAAAACCAAAACAACTTATAACGGGTTTGTAGATGAGTTTCAGTTATATGAGTGATTAGGTCATCAACTAATTTATGATACTTGAAAATATTGCTTTACACCGCATCAGTAATTGTTTAACGCTATTTCTGGAACTGATGGTGACTGGTTAAAGAGCCTGGACAGACTGAGTATAGACCATCTTTAGCAGTCCGGTAATCACAGACTCATGTTGTTACAGAATGATGCATGCTGTAGACTGGAAGCCCACCTTGGTGTCAGCGGCTGGTGGATCGCCTGGTAATAACCCCACCCCACTTATTACCGATTCTTTTAAATTATATGGGTTTTTACTTCATATGCATTTAGGGTTTTCTTGTTTGTTTATTTGGCGTGTGTGTGCGTTTCTAAACTATCATATTTCATTTATTTCGAAATAAACGAGAACGCGAAAATAAATGTGAACTGTGTCAGACTATGAAAGAGAAACGCCATGAAATCCATTTACTGTTGTAGAGACGACAATCGATGGAATAAGTCACTGGGAATCCATCAGGAATGGCAATCCATCGTCCAGAACCGAATTCATATACAATCTTGACGACTTTGAACCTGCAATGGAGGGTCATGCAGCAATAAGGCAAATACCTTTATGCATTAAATTACAGAAGTTATGCTGGGTTTTAGCCATAATCTGTAGTTTTACTGTCAGTTGTCAACACGTTTTCATAGTCTAAATGTTTTCATTTAAACATGTTTCTTCGTCACCATATGGCAGTAATATTAGATATTAACTCATTATAAATTAACAACCAAAATAAGTGAAGTTTTTATTCTGTACTAACTACGAGCTGAAACAATAAACATACATAACTTTGTTTCCCTCAGTTCAAAATGTTGAAGAGTACATATCATGAACAACATAGGGTGCAGCAAGTGATCCTGTGCTGTGTTGTTTGTTGACAGGGTTGGAAACTACAAGCTGATATTGGGCTATCCAGGGACACCCGATGGCTGGCACGAGCCTATGAACAAGACAAAGGATGACATTTATGATTCCATCATATACCTCAAGGGCGACTTCCCAGCTCGTCTGTACAATTTACATTGTAGGTGCAAAACAGAAACAATTGTCTATTAATTGACTAACGTATTGGTAAAATTGTAAGGAGGATTTACCTTTCTCAAAATATATACGAAAATGTATATTTTCAAATGTGTGTCCATAATCTGTGTAAGCGCCATCCCTGCATATACACATGCTATTCGTCAATAACCCCTTGTCTGTCTACAGCGGATCCCGCTGAGCGTTACAACCTCGCACCTAAGAAGCCGGACGTTGTCGACCAACTAAGAGCCCGGATTGAAGACTACCGGAAGCAGATGGTCCCCGCACTCTACCCTCCTGGTGATCCTGCATCTAACCCTAAAAACTTCGGAAACGTCTGGAGCCCCGGATGGTGCTGACCTGTATTTGTGCAGACAGACTAGAGCAATGTCGGCTAACCCGACTTGCATGCAATAGTCTTTAGCCATATGTCATGTTGTTTTGATATTCATTCGGCTGAAATAGTATGTGACGATGTGTTGTTTGAAAATAAGCGGATGTTGACTAAACTCGATCTGAATAACATAGTCTCTAACAATAATATGATGCTGATTTAAATTCATTTCATTTAAATAGTACGTGTAACAATGTGTTGTTTGAAATTCATTTTGTTATGATATCACATGTAAAATAAATAGGTGCTAGTTTCCCGTGTCTTTAATTTACAGTTGTATTTGGCGAATTGTGTTAAACGCCGTATTGAAAACATAAAGTATGTGTTTAACACTTTGATGTAAACAACAAAGGTGTGATAACGTGGCAAACCTTGGCAGCTTCTCACCGTACCATACCACACAGCTCCGATCGTCAGGATACAAGTTGCCACTATTTCAGTCGTAGCGTGCTGGATTGACCCTGTCAGCGAAATATGCAACCGAGTTTTGGTGTTTCGCAATTTAATGAAATACAACACACCTGGCGTTAAGAAACAAACAATAACAATTATACAGACACTAAATATTTATCGCTATTTCACAATGTCAGAATACATAGCCTGGATTATTAGCTAAACCTTGGGAGTTAAAGGCAAACTAGTGATAACATATATGAAACCTATAACAAATGGAAGATTGTTGTCAGATTCGAATGTATCTAAGTTGGTGATATCTTTCGTCTGGTTTAACACTGGGTGCATGTACTAACAATGTCTCAGAGATATCAGGGTCTCTAGGGTAAGGTGAAGATAACACCGAATATTTCTGTGAGGCTCTGGTAATGAGAGGTGGTTCCGTCACAGTGTTGTGTTAAGTGAGTTGAACTGAGTACTTTGACGATCATGTCATCGGTTTGTTGGATAAATAAGAAAATTTCCTTTAAGGTCATGTCATATGTTGTCATAGAAAGAATCGCTTTTGTCAATAATGGGAAGTTATACTTGAAGTAGGTGAACTAACTCCATCGTGAACATTATTTCAGTAATATCATGCAAGATTATATAATTCTTGATTCTACCATACATTGAGATGGTATGAGGGTATACTCTTTTGCCTTTTACTGATATCTTCTCCTTTCCCAAGTGTATACACTATTGTATGTAATCAGTAAACATTGACCGCTAACGAATTTCGATAATGTTTGGCTCTTTATGACGTAACAACCTTTGATATGTCAGCATTAAGGCCTCCAAGGATAGCAGTTTCACCTTGAACACATAGTGAGTCATACACATCAAATAACCAATCAGTGTCCTTGTCGTCTATTGATATCAGGCTCTTGTAGGAATGCGACAGCAGATAACATACATATCATTTTCATCGTGGGGTGATGTAATCTCACAGCCCCATCACAATTAGACGGGCTAGATGGACAATCTACATTTCACCTAGAGCTGCTGTGATATACACGGGTCTTCATTCAGCATGTGACCAGCACCACGCAATATTCCATCTAAATGACGGCAGCCTGAAAATAATCGAGTCTAGGCCAGACAAGCCCGTGATTAACACCATGCATCAACCAAGTCCTGACCTGACCGCCCCATCCCGGTATCAGTTGTTGAAGACCAATTCTAACCCGGAACTTCACGGGCTTCTTAAATATGCTATCCAGTTAGTAACACTGTATAGTTCATTGCATAAAATACATGCCACGTAACGTTTTAATGAGTTGATATATTAGGAAAGTATGGAATACAATAAACTTGATAATGTTGGATGACTGGTTTATCTATGGCAAGAACATTCACTACGCAAATCATCAAGCACAGGACATTCAAACAAAAGATGATAGACCTTTTCTGCTTCATGGTTATTGCATAGTTTACCAAATGTACGTTCTTAATATGTGCTTATCATCCTTGTTATGGGTATACGATGAGCACCTTCTGTTCACAAATGGGTTTGCATGACATTTACACGTTGATGACAATAATAGAGCTTGGTTCATATCTCATACGAAGGGTATTTGGGCGTTGAATGGAAATGTCAAGACAGTTTTGTGGATAAAAAGACATCCAGATATATGTATTTAGTTCAATAATAACTTTAAAAAACCAACACTTTCCCCGTTTTGATAATGTACCCCCAGTTTTAAGAACAAGTACCATTGTTTATTTCATGTACGCTGTCAGATATCTCTTTTGAAAATACTTTTTTATTGCAGCAGTCATGTCATGAATGGAGACGACCAGGGCCTGACCGTGAATTAAACATACTACAGTCACTGGAATACACGGGGCAAACACGTGTTATAGATGAAGATGTTTATTTTATTGCCAAGGCTGGGAGGAAGGCTGAAGGTATGACACAGCAATTGTGAACTCAACGAAATGGAAACTGTGCAACGGTACTTTGCGCGGCGAGTCCAGAATCTCCACAAGAGGTCGTCTACCTAACTTGCATAGCAACGCCTATGTAATCGAACCGGAAATGGAAGCGCACCTGTTTAAATTTTATCAGCGAAGAGCCAAACACTAAATATGAATTCAATAAAAGCTTATATGGTAAGTATGGTTAATTGCAAACCTGTTGAAGTTTAATGACAGTATGTTACACCTCAAGATTCCATCATCAGTTTGTAAATCTGATGTTTTTAATAGTAAATAACAATATCTATCTGCTCCGGCAAGACTTGTAACTCTCCTGTGTGGAGATGTAAAGAAGAAGATATCACCACGAAGTAAGTTCAATTGTTCAAACGGTATGTTACATGAAACTCTCATAAAATCTAAATCTGGCCTATTTTTAACTTTTGTTTTATACTTAGTATAATTAAGAGAAATTCCATAACACGTTTGTACTTATTTAAACTTACACGAATTGTCAGCCTTATTTCATTCTGAAATGATACGGATAATGAATCGAACTAAATTTGTGGGGAAATGGTTTATTGCTATCAACTATGTTCTACAAGGTAAGAATAGTATAATTATTCCAAATTAATTCATTAATTTATTGATTATGTTTTTCGTTTTGATAAACCATAATCGACTCCTTTCACAGCTGAACCCAAAATTATTATCTAATAATCTTCCCAAACTAAGATAATATTAATAATGACTGTAATGATAATGATAATCATGATATCATATTTTCAATATCAGACTTAATGCAATATCAGGCATATGCCAAAAATCAGAGTCCGCCAGGAGGCTGAAAGCTAAGAAAACTGGTGGTGGACCACCCCCTGATGATCTTACTGTAATGGAAAAGAGGGTAAATAAATACAAAGCAATTATTTTTAATAATGAATACAACAAACTGAGTTTGAGTAACACTAGACATGATTCATGACAATGAAATTGTGTATGCACTAGGAAACTCAAAACATATCTATAATAATAGTAATAGAGCTACCATTTCCTTTTTTTATTAGATTCTACAATTAATTCCTGCCTGTGCTATTGAGGGGATTCCAGGAGGCATAGAAACACCTGGTAATGATGAGACTGTCTTAATGTTGTTCATGTACATGTGTATTAAAGTGACTGAAATATGTAGTTTAATCAAGTTCTAAATGTATTTCAAAGTTATTGTATGAAATGTTGACAGTGTTTTTTATAACATCACAAATGACAAATTTGTTTTACTTTGACAGTCTTCAGCATGATTCCATCTATTGCTGATGAAGCTGAAGAAACAACATTTCTCTTTGGTAAATAATTATGCAAACTCATTTCTTTGTTTTGAAGATGCAAAAATATTTTATTTTGCAAAATTTCAAAACCTACTACTTTTCATTTTAAAGTTTAACTCCTTCTTGTCCAACGTAATAAATATCAAATAATTGTATGTATGGTGTAAAGTAGTTTTGGACATAAAAGCATATATAAAATTTTAACAGTTACATAACTATCATATCCAATGTTATCATCCAGTTAATGTTGTGTGTGAAAAAAATGCGTCATAAACGGTATGTTTCAGATTCTCAACAGCAAGTGTTCTTCACACCAGTAACTGCCACAGATACAGAAGGCAGTTGTGGAGCTAGCACAGGTGTGACATCATTCCAGATATTCAGATGATGAAATGCTACCATTCTTTGCAATTTACAATGACACAGTTAAGCTATTCCACTGATTTTGTGCTAGTATACAATCTATGTGCATACCATAAAATACACTTTTAACATGTTATTAGTTATAGTTATTTTAAAAAAATGCTATGCATTTCAGATAAGGACCAAGCTTGTGTGATGGACACAATGGTAACTCCTGCTATTGAAAAAAGTATGTATTTAACATTATTAAACATTATTGATAAATATTTGTGCACACATAAAAGGCAATTTACTTTGTTAGTATCTCTAGCTAATAACAATAACAAATTTCTTTCAAGGAAAAAACCTAAAGGGAAGCCTCCGGTAAAGAAAACATCAAATGAAGGTATGTTATTGATTGTTTACAGTATTCTAGTATCAGCACTGCAATTGTAATCATAAATATTTCATTGGATGGTATTAATGAACACATCATTGATTATCAAACAAAACTGTCTTAATCTTTTCAGAAGACATTCTGGGAGAAATCAAATCCTTCAAGCACAGGAAGAAAGAAAGATGTATCTTTTGGAAGAAATTCTGTCTGTGCAGCGGGACATCCGGGACATCGAAAGACAAAGGCTGGATCTGGAACGAGAGAAATTTGAATATAAAAAATCATTTGGAAATTCATTGTCTCCAATTATCAAATTTAATTAAAGGCACATGTTCACTTGTGCTGATAAAAGTTTTCATTTGTTTGTTTTCTTATTTGGATAAAACATATGTATGTAAAAAATATATTTTCCATAAACACTAAAAAATATATAATGGAGGATTCACAAGTGTTTCTATATAACAAAACCACAGTCCGTAACCATTTTCTGAACTTATTCAAGTCGCATTACTGCATTTAGTCTGTGGCACATTGTTGCAAACCCATCGAAATTGTTATGGATATACAACTTCTTTATTCTATGTAGGCATCGTTTCGATGGATATACAACTTCCTTATTCTATTAAGGCGACGTTTCGTTGGATATACAACTTCTTTATTCTATATAGGCGACGTTTCATTGGATAAACAACTTCTTTGCACAAACAATCCTACAGACAGCCTCCCAAATCTTCGTCTGAGAAAGAATCCAACATCACCACAAGATTAAGGCTCTCACCTTCAGCACCATAACGCAACTTCAAGAGCAACTCAAGTCTACCCTGAACCCTGACACATGCGCTAAACTAAGAGATCTCCAAACATCGGCCAATCAAAGATTAGACTCAAACCCTCAAGACGAACCATACCTCCAAAATAACAAGATGAAGCCCCTATCAAACCAAAGGCTAGACCGTCCACAGAAGAATACATCCAGAGAACCACCATCAACCTCAGCAGCAGAACCCTTCACAGCCAAGAACTTGCAGTCCTTTCCAAAGGGCTTAAGGTCCTACCCACTATGCGCCAAAACAATGACATGTTCTTGTCCAAGTGGAGAAAGGCCTTCAACAACTAGCGCCATGTGGTAAGGTCGACTACATGAGGCACCAGATTGCCAACATACTGGAAAAAAGCAAATTCAAACCATGGCAAAAAAAATAACAACGCAACAACAGAAGGAAACCTGAACAATGCTCAAAGGCAGATCCTGGGGAAACTCAGAGCTGATCCTTAAATCACTCTCGCCCCAGCTGACACAGGTAGAGCAACCGTCATAATGCACACACTGCCGACTTTGAGACCCTCGCTGACAACATCCTCAGCGACTCCATCACCTACCAGCAGAAGAAGAAAGACCCCACCGCCCGGCCGCAGAGAGAACACAGAGCCCTGCTGAAGCGACTCCTAGTAAACAATGAGATAGGCCCAACCCTCCATAAGAAACTCCTGGTCCAGCACCCACAGCTGCCCTATGTCCGACCCACCATCAAGGTCCAAAAAATCCCATCAAAGCCCGTCTTCTCACGGAATACTGCTCATTACAATACTGCCCTGCACCTGTCAAAACACCTCGCCCCCTACGAAAGACCGTCAAGTCCTTCATCGCCGACTCCAGTGAGTTCTGCAAGAAGATCAGCACCATCACTGAACCCGGCAAGCTGCTAAGTTACGACGTGGTTGATCTTCTCACCAATGTCCCCGGGAAGAAGCCCTCGCCGTCATCAAATCCAGAGTCGAAGAAATCCACTCCACCCTTGACACCCACCTTTTCCCTGACAGCATCGTAAAACTTATCAACGGATGCATCAGTTCCACCTACTTCACATGGAAAGATAAAAAGTACAACAGACCCATGGCCTCCCTATGGGTTCCCCACTATCCTCCCTCATCACCGAGATCTACATGACCCACCTTAAATAGTCATGTTTCACTGATTATATTTTTACTACCACTGTTATCGTATTTTATACATTTGAATAGTACTGCCTTTGCACTCACAATGTGTACTCAGTTATTACCTGATTGATTGTGGCTGTACCCTCGACGGGATGCAAAGTACCATAAAATTATTGTCACCCTGGAGGGGTACGTGAGTCCCATTTCATTCAAAGTATCTACCATCTTTTTAATCTAAGAACATCTGGTATTTTAACGAATTATGATTAAATTCCTAAATAATCGCCAACACCTGAAGGATGGTGTGAATCCAGATGACCAATGCAGGAAGCAAAAGTATTGTAAGTCCCCATGGTTCCTGGTATGGTGATGTACCTTCAGTTTCTGGCGATCTGTAGCTCGTTTTATTTTGTATTGTTTTACATTTAATAACAACAATCAAGTGTGAAACAAATATATGATATTCTGGGGTTTTTTTCTTCTCAATTTACGATTCGAGAGCGATATTCACTGTTATTTTCACCGCGTCCAGCTCTGTGATGGATTTTGCCAACTCATGCAGAGCCATTCGCTTCCCTTCTTGGAGTGAGGGACTTCAGGAGACACGATGTGTATCTGACTTTAAATGCCTGAATGGTACCTTAGTCAAAGGTTGTAACACGGGCGTGGTGTTTGCAGGCAAAAACGTGAGCGTAACATTACTGAATGAAACTCCATGGGCGTGGCTTGGAGCGTTTCCATAAACGACAAGATTTTCCATCTCTGTGTTCGAAAGCCACCCCTATTTAACATCCCTCATGAGTAAGAAATGTCACTTCACTAATTACATGTTCAAGTATACCCATACTGAACTCAGATTATATTATCTTTGTCGACAACCATATAGTTTCAACGCAGGATAAATTGGTGACAATACACATATGGCCGAATTCTCGCCACGCACCGCAATTACTGTAAAACACATATTCGGGCGGCTCATTTCATGCCGAGATCCGGAATTGACAGCTGCAAGAATGCAGCGCATTTAAATGAAGATAAATGAGCTAGACAAAATAAGGACGGGAATGAGATTTTATGCCGGTGCTGACAACGTGCCTGATTGGACAGCAGCCGGTTTTGACAGCTTCCACTATACATATGCGATGCAGCCCTTTGTCCCAATGTCAGCATGTATTGAAATTTTACCAATGATTGACCTGGTAAAAGTAGCGGCCGACAAAATATACATGATATATTATTGAATGTGAGAGGGCAGCCATTGTGCCTTAAGCAGTCATTGTTTAATTATACATTTACCATAACTATTCTTTCATAAAATACTTCGTAATACTGTAATACTGATTAGCAACAAATGTTCATTTATTAAGCACACTAGTTTACACCATTTTAGAATGACCCACAGTACATCTGATTAGCACCACCCTGGGGTCCAAACCTTCCCGTATTTTCTGGGGTCCGCTGCAGGAACCTGTTTGGGGAATTGGCTGGCACCATCGTCTTTTGTACTCTTCAAACCGGGCACGCAGCTTCGCTACCACGTCTGGCATCTGCTGTGCGAGGTCATTGTGCTCAGTTGGATCCTCTGGATACGAATCAGAATATCGGTTAAAAGGATGGAAGAGAGCATTATGAACAATATGTATTCATCCTGTTGTAACATGTATATTGTGCCAGTACTCTTCAGCCGTCCACTCCAGCCTGCATCCAACGTTAACACTATGCAGTATGGATGATAGTGGTTCGGCAGTCATGTAACTATGGTCAGGAAATTTAATGAGAATGACAGGTCTTGAAAACTCCACGGTATGAATTGATCCTCTATATACCACTATGGATCAGCCATACCCATAATTGGAACCGAGTGTACAAACGAGGGACATTTAGGTAATATATTACCATTACTATTACGTTGAGCATTGCCTACCTCGTATGTTGAAGAGATGGACAGGCGCATCACCTTTGATGTAAATCATAGTTTCATATTGTTCATCCTTTGTTTTGTTCATGGGTTTGTGCCAACCGTCAGTACGACCTGGGTACCCAAGGATGAGCTTGTAGTCCCCTACTCTGATACACAAAGAGGCAGACATACAACACTGTATGACTGGATTAATGATATATTATTTGAAATACTTTTTAATTTGGTATGGAAGTATGCAAATGGCCGTAACATATCGTACAGGTAATTGGGCAGCATTTTGCATTTTATCTAATACGATGGTTGGTTGGTTAGTTTGTTGTTTAACGCCGCACTCAGCAATATCTCAGCTATACGGTGCAGTATGTAAATAAGTGAGTCTGGGCCAGACAATCCAGTGATAAACAGTAAGATCATCAATCTACGCAATCTAATGCGATGGTAAAACATCATAATACCTTATTCCAGCATGACCTTCGTCTGGAACTTCAAAGTCGTCAATGTTGTAGATGAACTCTGTCCTTGATGAGGGGAGGCCGTATCGAATAGAATCCCAGTGACTCATTCCATCAATGGTTGTCTCTGTACTCAAATTATAAAAAAGGTATATGGCTACAATACCGACGATTAGCAGCATCGTTTTATCAAACTGAGGGAACATCAAAACTCATCTCACCGATTCTTTGAAGGGACAATTTATTCCTTCATTATGTCACAATTAGCAGCAATTGTGACATAAATCCGTGAAACATGAAGAGGACTCATTGTGAAATTTGGGGTAAACACTTCGCAAAGAAGTAGTCATCCCCATAGGCACCAATTGTGCTTCCCTCCTTTTCTGTTTCTTTTTGCATATGAATCAGAATGTTTGCTTTGGTTGTCAAAATCAACTCAAGCTTCCGGTACATTGGTGATCTAATATCGCTCAATAACCATCAAATAGTCAATTCCATTCCACTGATTTACCTATCTTACAACCGCGATCAAGCCCATCTGTGACCTTTGTAATTATAACCTTAATGAAGACGAGAACCACGTATTTTTTTTTTGTGACAAGTATAATCAAGCCAGACCTCTATATCTACAGAAGCTACAATCAGTCCTCAGAGACCCACTAACCATTCAGGCAATTTTCATGTCACAAAACAGTAATGTAGAACATCTAACAGCTATCTATCCCAATGAAATATTTAAAATAAGATCTATATGAAACTCATATGTTTATGATCACGTGTAATTTATATTGTATTTGTCAACTGTATCATAAGCCTTATGGCCCAAATAGTACTGAATAAACTTCTGTTCTGATTTACCCATCTGAACTTGAAATTAAGGAGACAAGTGAGAGCGCCTAAACTGTTTCATATCTAGATACGCATAAAGATTCAGAGTGATAGAAAAAAACTCTACACAAGGCTGTATGACAAAAGGGATGATTTCAACTTTCCATTAGTCACGTCAAACAATATTCCAACAGCTCCAACCTGTGGTGTTTACATTTCACAACATTTGAGGTACAATCGAGCGTGCTGTTTGTATTAGGATTTTCAAAGAGCGTCATACCACTATTCCTCAGAAGTTGTGTGATCAAGGTTACTAAATTCAAGACGTTTTATGTTAGAGATGTGGAGGAAATTTCCAAATTTAATGCATCAGTCACAAAAATGATGTCCGATGCCATTCCCCATTTTGACATATACAATACGTTCCAAAATTATTTCAGGTAAACAACTGACTAGACTTAGCATATGTTTATGACGGGTGCCACCGGTGGGGCAAGATACGGCTTTTCGCAAACACCTGGTATCATAACTATTTCATAGTGATTCACAAACACATCCTATCGCATGGTGACAAACACTGGATTGTCTGGTCCATAATCGATTTGTTTACAAACAACATTGTACAGCTGTAACACTGCACAGATTTCTTATGGACGTGGAAAGGATTTGTGGCTTCTATCACACTACCTGGAGTTCCCCAGCAGCAGACACTAAGGTGGGTTTCCAGTCGACGGCGTGGATCATCCTGTAAAGAGGTAGAAGCGATTCCTGTTTTCAAACACCACATTCTTGAATTGACTACAGAACTTCAACTATCTAAAGTTTAAGCACAACCGAATCGATTAGGGGTATATCTAATATAAAGGTGTGCAATAAGAATTTCATTGAAGTTGAATTGTATACACTAGAATGCAAGGAATATACAATAGTGGAGTAACAAGTGTGGCAATAGAGGAAGACGTGTTTTGTATCTTAGGCCTCCGGCCCACATACAAAATAACCAAAATACAGAGTAATTTACACAATCGAATATTGCAGGCAGTGTGTAGCAATACTGACACACATAAATGGAAACATAACACCGATATTTCTCACATTCTATCTTTTCCTAAACTCCAGTTCCGATCATCAGTTCTGATATTTTTTACTTACTTACGATAATGTATTATGTGAAACTTTGATTTAGGGTTATATAATATAATTTGGATCATCATTAATTATACACGTATCAAAAATAGGATTATTAAGCCCGGTGTCTTATTTGGTGTTACCCTTCATATGTAGTTTTTATCCTTTGGAGCCCCGCTCCGTACATGAAGGATGTCCCCTCGTGCCACCCTCCCAGATGGTGCGCTTCGCTCCTCGCTAGGGCCAGTTGTTGGCATACACGTCGAGAGGGCCTCCGTTCTGAATGTTTCGTATTGTAGTTCGTAGTAAAATGACTTCATAGGCAGTTTCATGAAAGGCAACGTTTCCAGCAACGTGAAGAAACTGAATTTATATAACTTCACTAAACATGCACACAGAGCAGTTCAATTGATACCTCAAGCAGTTTTACGAAGAATGCTTTTGTTTCTTTTGTGTAACATGTACATGTTTGGAAATAATGAACAGGAAATAAGAGATCTATATATTCCCGCTGCTGACTACAATGAGGTTATTTCACACTGTCATAATCTGAACCTAATCTCAATAGTAAAATTACCGGGTTCAAGATACGCAAATCGTTTTGTAATTTCTGTTGTTTCTTCCTGTTAATCCTGGAGCTGTAATGTACTCACGTCAGTAGTAAACAGAATTAGGGTATTTTCAAACAAGCCCCGATCTTTCAAGGCTTGGGTAACATTTCCAACCGCTTCATCCAAGGCAGATACCATTCCTGTAGACATTGAAAGTAACTGGCAAGTCATTTTGAACAGTATCTCAGATGTAGTGTCGGTCGTTATTGCTCACCCCGATACGTTGATAGCAGATTTCATACTCTGGTGAAACCAACTTGCTTAACTGGGTAATACTCTTTAAAGTGACGGAATAATTGTGACAATAATTGAATATTAATAAACTCAATAACCGATCTATGATAACTTGCTGTCTCAGAGACAAAATAGAAAACCGGGATTGAGACTAAAAATGATCCAATGCATAACTTTTATTAGGAATAGTAACTTGAATGTACATACCACTGTACTTTCTTCGGCCTTCGTTAATGACGTTCGGATACATATCCTCGTACTTCTTAGGCACCTGTGATGTCACAAAGTTGAGGTACATATATTGAGAAACGGAATGTATTCATTACATTCTAAACAAATAACGAAAGTATTTAAATTGGGTTGGGACAAACGATACTGCGAAACTAACAAGCACGAGACAGGAGTGGAGAAACCTTGATAAATAATCGGGTCGAACTAGCATTCAAACCCACGATTATACGCATCCGACGTTCCCAGAGACGACATGGCCACCCGTGTCCCTGAAATGATTCATGCAATTGTGACTACAGATATAACTATTTTAACGATTTTCTTTCGACGGTAATCACACTGACACGCTGATGAAACCTGTATACGTTTTCAGTTCTCTCTTACCTCAATTGGCTCATGTACATTCTGATATGGAAGGTACATAAACAGTGGTTGTGATGCGTTTTGTCGATGGATGATGTCAACTGCTCTCTGGGTGAACGTGTACTGAAATGATAATACGAATTTATGCAACAGCCAAACTAATATCCGACTGATGATTTAGACCTGTAACATAAAGTATAATACATTTCAAGAAACATGTTCCTCATTGGCATAAATACTATGAACAATTACCGACGAATTTCCCTTACTTACGTACAGCAGAATATTCCCGGAATAGTTTCTTGCCGGAAGCTCATTGTCCCTGTAGTCAAGATACCCGCCTAACAAAGAGGGAAAATACCTTTGATCAAAATGCATTTGCCAGCACTGTATACCAAAACTTAAATTAACAAAACAACGCCCACGAGGAGTTTACATGAAATCCCACAAGTAGAATAATACGTACCGATTGAGTGATTGAAATATCCTTCATTCCCATTATAGTATCCAAAGAAAGTATCGAAGCCTCGGTAGGTTGGGGTGCACTCCCACTTGCAGAAACCCAGGTGCCATCTGGAATGACATTGCAGATGGCGATGCTTCAGAAGGTCATTAAGTAACTGTCGTGGATTTGCCATTATCACATATGCAAACACGTTGTCATAACAACATGCACTTACATGTGCATCCCGGAACTTTGCATACGCAGAATTCCTTGGATATATTTTGACACACATTCAAAGTGTCACGATGAGCTGTAAATAGCTGAAGACGTTTTATTTACAAAAAAAACACACTTTGCTGACCACAACGATGTGACAAAAAGGGGTAGCGTGCAAGTGGAATATTAGAGTGAGTGAGTGAGTGAGTGAGTTAATATTCATAGTCACATCGTCAGCCATATCGTGACTAAGGAATGTTTGAAATCAAATTTGCCCTAAACACTATTACTGAGCAACGTTCTGCATTCGCTGATTGGGGCAACATGCTGTGGAAAGGCATAACTCCACATCTCAGGTCACTGTTGATCATCCTTCAGACACAAGGAAGTCACATGACTTTAAAGCAGGACGCCATCAACTTCGTGTGTACATTTATCGCCCATCTAACACGTGTGCGCTGAGACGAATTCACACCTACTTCCAAACTTACCGGTGACGTTGATCTAACTGGGACAGACATTGCTGCTGGCCTGCAATGACTTCACAAAATCCACAAATCTCGTGTCGTCAATAAGGTGCATCGTCGGTATTTTATCACTGCTGATGGTGGTCAGCAAATAAACAAATGAACCCAAGCCACTTTCAAACTTGGATGACGTTTACATAGCACGTGTACTTAAATTTCACATCACAGTGCATCTACTGGAAGGACATGACATGCTCACCTAGTGTCATCACTGATATTCAGTGATCCATTAACATAACGTCATGACTAATTCACAATTTATTATTATCGAGTCTTGCTAAAAGGTTTGGGATCATGCATATACAAATGTATTTGTTAAAAATGGGTTTACAGAGACGACTAAGTTTGTCCATATGTGTACGGTATGTAAAATCTTTCATGATATATGTTACAGATATTTAAGATTACATATATTTCGTTGCAAAAGCGTTTGATTTTTTGTTTCACTTTTAATATATGATTTGAGATAGGATCGTTATTCCCACGACTAGAATCATGTACGAAATGGTCTATGACAATACTTATATAGTTGTCATCTAAAGGTTTGATTATTGAGCTTTGTCCAAAGATATGTCTTCATTAGATCCAGTGAGTGTCAATGGTCGTTTCTACCTTTGTGTAACGCAGTACTTACTTTCCAATCATGTGTGTAGCATAGCCGAGTCTCTTTAATTCCTGGGGCAGGAATGTATAGTTGAGAGGTACACATGCTGCTACAGCTTCAGCCAGGGTGAATTGTCTCATGCTAAATAACATTTATATTTTTTAAGAAATTGCGATATATTCATAAAGGTGACAGCATGAGAATTAGTTCTCAATCAGCAACGTGAATTATCAAATATATAACAACGAAAACCACACAATGTACACAATGATACATTCTTTAACAAACTGCTTTAAGAAACATTATGGTGAAAATCAGGACAATGCATCTCGTGATATAGTTTGTTTTAAAAAGGAGAGTCAATTGAAAGTGCGTAAACAGCAATGAGTAACGATATTCCTATTCATGGAGCAGGAGAATATTCCTCAAGACAGCTTGCAATCGCTCGATGCCTTTCGGCCTGTATCATGTTATGTTAAACGACATAATTACCTGCGTGCCTGCGTGGAATGGATAAATTCCACTCATGAAGGCAGTGCGGGATCTGAAACAATGAGTGTGTAGGCACGTGTGTAATCCGGTCACATAATCACGTAGACAGATAAACACAGGTTGACCTAAAACATGTTCATTTTTCAGCTGTTTTGGCATTTGTTTGATTACTTTATTTGGCAATTAGAAATTGCAATATACAAGTTACATATAGAAGTATCTGATTCGCGTGGAGTTTTCTTAGTATTTCATGACAATGAAGACTGAACAATATGACTGCAATTTACGGGGTGCACAGAGGCTGGACATATGCATTCTCGAAGATGATTCCTTCTGTGGCCAGTTTGTCGATGTTTGGGGTCTTCATGTCAGGGTTTCGGTAACCAACATCATTCCAGCCTGTATAAACACAGATTGTTAATCATCGGATATGTAGATTATTCACCGCTAGGTTAATGTGTATACTTGACATGGAACATTTCAGTATCATTTCGTTTCAGTATGTATTTTACCTGAATTGTATTCTAGAGGCCTTCCCTATGTCCACTCACCTAAGTCATCTGCCACAATAAACACAATGTTAGGACGCTGCGCTGCTGACAGTGGTAGGACACACAGGAACAGAGCAAGGAGCTGTCGAACCTCCATCACGTTTGGTTGTTATTCAAAAAATAAGACAGTTGGTTTTATCCTCTCTGTACATAGGCATTTCAACGTCTCGGACGTGACTGATAAATGTTATCTCAACCTTTGACATACTTCCTCTGGTAATTGATGTAATCAGGCTTAATCAATCAAGGAGGAACGTGTGAGTACATTTATTGATATTTCAGTATTTTGCGATTGCATAATTAAGTGTAAGATTCTATCTTAACAATTTAAAGATCGGTTTTATAAACCATGAAACATGGAATGTTTACGAAGGTTCATCTATACATTCCTCTCAGATAACGAAAATATGCTGATTAGTGTACTGTAGACATGTGCAGTCTTTCGCAAGCGTGGAACATAACTGCCTACTTGTGGGTCATAACATACAAGCAGTGGCTTGTGCCACTGTCATTGATCCAGTACAATATCTTTCGACTACCAAATAACAGCTCTATTTTCACAGCAGAAGCTAACGCCTTATTAACAGCTCTTAAATATATTAATAAACACCGTAAATATAAACAATACATAATCTTTTCCGATTCTCTTCGTATCTTCAGGCTATTAAAACTCTTTCTTGTAAACATCCACTATTGTTAGAAGTTATTGAATTGTATAATGAGCTTGCTACTGGCCAATGCAACATCGTCTTTTGTTGGTTACCCAGCCACGTTGCCATTTCTGGGAATACAACGGCTGATCTTGCTGCTAAGGCAGCAGTAAATCCGTGACACCTCTTCTTATTCCAAACTCTGAATGCTGCCATTTGAACCTACATCCGGGATCTGATGCAGAAGAAGTTGGACACCCAAGTAGGTATTAACAAATTACATGAAATAAAACCCTATATCGGTTATAGGTTTTTATAATTGGTAGTTAAGATTTTCAGCTTAGATTGTTAGTGGCTGTATCCTCAAAGGGAGTTGAAGTAGCGTAAAATTATTGTCCTCCTGAGAGGGTACGTAAGTCCCCAAAACTTTCAAAGTAAAATTTTCACGTACCAAGTTTTTAAACGTAGTATTTTGTTCTTTTAAATTTCGGCTAAATTATCCTAAAATCGCCAGCGGCTGAAGGGATGGTGTAAAATCCAGCTAGCCTCCATGCAGGTAGCAAAAGTAATGTAAGTTCCTAGTATAGTGATCTACCTTCAGTTGTTGGCGATCTATAGCCTGTTTTATATTGTATTGTCCATATAGTGCTATTAGTTTTAACTTTCCACGCTAGTTGTAATTGTGATTGTGATATTCTAGTTGTTTTACTGTCCTTCGTGAACAGGTTTTATAATATTCATATATTCCATTTCAACGCCAAATATGTTTTCGTCACGATATGGCTGCAATATTGCCGATGTGACGTTAAATAATAACTCACTCACTCATAACATACAATCTATATCTCAGATTGACATGTTGCCTATGTTTTCCTGTGAACTTAAACTACATGGATGTGGGCCTTGTTTATCGATGTACCTACCAACAGTCTCGATCCATATCGCACTGACGTGTAAATTGTCATGAACAATGAACTATACCAGGTAAAACATGTACCGAAGTCACCAAGCCTGCCGAAAGTCACATCTTACAAAAACATATGATGTAGATGGAGAGTGTTCCAACCTGGAATAACCATTGCGATTTGGATTGCCACACATTATGAAGCTAAACTTCATGGAATGTGAACAACTACCTCTGACGTCACAAATACTAGTATGTGCGTAGTAATACGTTACGTGACAAGCTCAGTGACACAATTTCCTACTGATCACTCAATTGACAGCGTTAGGTGATCTAGTTCCCAGTACGTTTTTATGTTACAGCACGTATTGTTGTCAATAAATCTTAGCTTACGTTTGAAACATAACAACAAACCCGTGTGGAAATTCAGAACCCTTCAAATAACCTTTCGAACAACTAATACACTTTAATGTTCACGTGACATTTGCGAAACCTGGATTCCTGTGCCGTTTGCTCGCCAACACTGACAGTCGGTCGGGCAACTGGTCTTAGTGTCTTCGTATGCATATGAATTTCTATCCTCCCTTCGTAATCTCCACAGCCATCATTTCCAGACATGAATTTCCTTGGATCAAGGCACTGACAGTACCGTAACCATGGTCGTCAATCCGGACACGACAGAGGAGCGTGACGCCATGTTTGTGTACACTGTGAAAGCAGTCCCTGAAGTTACATATAACCTCTAATTGGCATCGATTTCCGCATTAGATCCAAAAGGATACCGAAAATATCCGTTGGCTTTATCCTGCCGAGAACGCTATCCATTGTATGGTAAATGTCCTTCCTGTCCCGTTCATAGGCTGTTGATGGAGAAGGGTTGGCAGTAACTTGGCACTGGGGTGTTTTAATATATCTGCGTGCGTACGCGTGTGCATGTGGCTGGTGTGTTTTAAAACATAGATTTCTTTACATAGAATGTACAAATTGATTTCACTTCACACACTGTTTGCAAAATATTGTTGGTATTGTTCCTGCACCCACCACTTATACCGTATAGATTTACTTGGGCTATCATCATCACAATATGCTTTCAGTTCAGTGTCCAGTTCGTGGCCTGTGCTAACCATCAGGTCCTCCAGGGTAACCCATCATCAGCTTGAACAAGCAGCTTCAGTTTTATTACTATTTATTCAATGTAGAACTATGTTAGACTATGCAATGTCCATCAAGACATTCAAGGCGTCTACGAAGCCATTGTACGTTGTCTTGCCTTCTTTCCGTCCAGTACCATAACTGAAGTATGTCCAGTTCGTGCCCCATCCCCATCCCCTACATTGTGTGCTTCCCTTCGCTCTAATGCCAGCTACTAACATAACCAATACGACTGCCATTCGTACGTGATATGAAACAGCTCAGTGGACAGAATTTATTGTTCCACGGTTTAATGAGTCGTCACTGATAATAGAATTCAGCTTTTCAAAGAAATAAACAGCGGAAAACTCCAGGAATTCGCATCATCCAGAATGTATGTATTAGTAAATACATACTCATTTGTTATGAGTGTATACAGTATATATATTCTCAGTATTTCGGTCGATAAATTGAGAAAACGACCTTCCTTTCACCATAACTTCTTTGAGAGGAATTTAGAAGTTGGAGCAGTAGGGAAGGATAACAACATATGGATGAACAACTCCTTTATTGCTGAGAGCGACTCGACGTTTCGGTGTAGGTTCTAACACCCTTTATCGATCATTTATTTCAGCAAATGTGCGATCGCATAATTTAGAGCAAGAGTCTATTTCACAGTGTAAGAACATGTTATATGAACAATGAGCCATGACATGTTAACAACGGCTCGTCTATACATTCCTGTCAGATAACGAAAGTATGCTGAGTATTTTATTGCAGACATGTGCAGCCTTTCGCAAGGGAACATGGACTTTAAAGTCATACTATACAGTCCATAGGTCAGAATGCCATGTTGGCCAGATCCCCCATCGAGTCCTTAACCTATATCGACATCTGTCTTGTTTACCGATACACTTGCTAACAGGTTGTATCCATATCGCACGTCGGTGATCTTACAACAACCTTATAATGCACAGGAAACTGTCCAGATTTTCCCGCAGTGTAAATGTTGCAAGAATACACCGTCTTCGGTTGGGAATACATGTATCTGTCGTTATCAACTGTGCTCATCTCACTATAGGGCTTTATGGATGAGTAATAGGGTATATTAATCAAATTGGAAATCATTAAATCGAAATATTGTTAGCTTTTTTAATAACTGAGGTAAGAATTAAAACAGCTTTCCGCACGAATCACAAATGTAAATTCAGAATGATAATTGCATTTGGATGAATTCCAGGTAGAAGAGTACGGTTTTGAATGAAAGGTACATAACATATACTTTAACGATTACCAGGAATGTGGCGATTCACTCGGCGTCTTTAAACAGACAAAGAAATATGTGGGTAAGTTGTTTTGCATGAGACACACATGTTTACCGTTAACAACTAGTATTCAGTGTATATATTACCCGAGCAAGCCTAAGCCGTGGTGCCTAAATCAGCCTGTACCAATTCTCAACAGAGGTCTGAATGTGTACTGAAACTGCAAGGTGAACCAGAACAGATTTCAAGAATCTGGGTGCATACTGTCCGTGTTTTCAGTACCTACACTACCACTGATACATTGTGGGTATGATGAACCATTATGCATACTTCACACTTACCACTGGGACACCTACAAGCATCAGTAAAAGACAATATAAAATCGATAAAAAATTTAGTCTTCCCAGTGCGAAGAAACATAGTGCACATCCTGTTAAATTAGCTTTGCGTCCGTGCAATCGCCTGCATCCTTCAAAATTGTCAGTATTTGATCGGTTCCGTCGGGTTTTAGTCTCGCTGGAATTGTCAAAATGTAAGTAGGAGCAGGGCACGTAAATAGTTCACATCACGCAGTAAACCTTTGTTTATATCATACGACAATTGCACCTGATTTCAATCCAACAGAGAATTGTGTACAAACGTCTGATGTTCGTATTTGTTGCCCTCAAACATCAAGTTCCATGTTATCCCTAAAACCCCATTACAAAGAATCGGCTATGGAGAATGCTTATCCGCTTTCTCTCAGCAACTAACTGTGCAGAAAAACTTCGAACGTCATCCTTTGGTGAGGTAGGCCCAAGTCCGCTGGAATGAACTTCCAGATCACATACAGCAAATCACTGACTTTCTGACATTCAAGCATAAAGAGTTTGCTGTTTCAAAGAGCCAGTGATCTGCGCCTTTCAGTAACGTTTAGATTTTAGGCGTCATATAAACGTGAACATTACTATTATTATGTTAATGTAAAGCAAATTGCCCTTTATCATGAGCATGCAACATATCATCGTTCAGTGATACATTTATTGACAAATGTGCAACTGATTAGCACCATCCTGGGGTCCAAGCGTCTCCAAAGTTTTTGGGGTTAAATGAATTATCTGGATCGGGGAAATTGGCTGGCACCATCGTCTTTCTGTATTCCTCAAGCCGGGCACGCAACTTCGCCACCATGTCCGGCATCTTCTCTGCAAGGTCGTGGTGCTCAGTTGGATCCTCTAAGTGTGAAATGAGGTTGTTAGTTAACATCTGGGAGAAGAGTGGGGATTTTAAGAACAACCTGTGTTTATCTGCTGTTTGATCTGAATCTGCTCTGGGATCTGAATCAATTATTATATAAGATGTTAAATGCTAAAATCTTTTGACAAAGCATCTCTTGGACCAGTATGAGTGGGTTCATTTGAATACAACTGTGGGTTGAAAATTATATCACCGGTCAAATTCAAACACACGGTAAGTTGTTTTGTAGTATTACAAACATTACATATAGGTGCTGAATATTCAGCAACTAGGGAAACACATGAAGCGTGTATGTTAATTGCGCACCTCGAATGTTGAATAGATGGACTGGTTTATCGCCTTTGAGGTAAACTATCTGTTCATATGTTTCATACTGGGTTGTGTTCATTGGTCTGTGCCAGCCGTCAGCAGCTCCTGGGTATCCCAGCAACAGCTTATAGTCTCCTAATCTGAAACACAGGAGACACAGCAAATGCACATCAAATGCATATTTCACTACATTTAAGACCGTTTCGCAAAGCTCTCGTAAGCCTAAGATCTCGTAACTTTTTTCGTAGCATTCGTACCTCCAAAATTCATCCAGGGCAGAAACTTATTAACATAAGATCTCGTAACTTTTCTAGTAGCATTCGTACCTCTTATAACAGAGGAGGTACGAATGCTACGAGAAAAGTTACGAGATCTTAGGGCTTACGAGAGCTTTGTGAAACGGGGCCCAGGAATCAGTAGAGAGAAGTGACATGTTATATTGCCTCTGGAATAGGCCATTTATCAGGCAAGTAACGCATCGGTAGAGATAATTGTAGCAACTGATTGCAAGTGATCTTAAAAATAATTTGTGAAATACCTTAGTCCAGCATGCCCTTCGACGGGAACTTCCATGTCGTCGATGTTGTAGATGAACTCAGTCCTTGATGAGGGAAGGCCATTTCGAATAGAATCCCAGTGACTCATTCCATCAATCGTAGTTTCTATAGTATAGAAAGAATTGTTTTAACAACACTTTGTTGTCCTTAACCTAGTATTACTTATTCGGAACTGTTCTAAATTCAAAATAATTATATTCTCAGTGCTCATAAAATAATCGTTTATGATTGTAATTGTGACTAAATTTAAGGAAATTGCGAATCTCCTTACCTGGTGTTCCCCAGCAGCTGATACTAAAGTTGGCTTCCAGTCTACAGCGTGGATCATCCTGTTTATTGATAGAAGCTGTGTTACTTATACATAAATAGAATCCACATGCCCAAATCTGTCTACCATTGACTTCCCACATGGGTACAATGTGTGAAGCCCATTTCTGGTGTCCCCGCCGTGATGTTGCTGGAATGTTGCTAACTGGTGTAAAACCAAACTCAGTCAGTGAGTCAGTCAGTCTACCATTGACTGAAAGACTTGAATTTGTTTTGGTTAATGATTTAAAAAAGTAAGGAGAGTTAAATTGATAATATATTAAAGCTGTGATTTGCAAAAACAAAATCTTAAAATGCAATAAAATTGTAACAATTGTGTAATGATAAAAGCTAGGTTATGTTGACAGGAACATGATTTGTTTCAGATGCTATGCGCTGTGCGAGATTTACGGACTAACCACATGTCTATGAAACATGCTAACCTACAAATCATATGATTATAAATGGAACGCTTACAAAATTAGGATGTTTGAAATTGGCCTGACTGTATTCTATGTTGTTACCCATCGTATGTTGTCCTCGTCTTCTGGAGTCCAGCGCCATGCATGAAGGATATGCCCCTCGTGCCCTCCCCAGATAGTGTGTTTGCCTCCTCTCAAAGGCCAGTTGTTTGCGCATGCTTCGAGCGCGCCTCCATTCTGAATGGTCAGTGGTATATTACTATTACTGAGAATGAGTGAGTGAGTGATTGAGTTATTATTTAAAGTCACATCGGCAATATCTCAGCCATATCGTGACGAGAACATTTGACATTGAAATAGAATATATATAGATATTATAAAACCTGCTGACGAAGGACAGTAAAACAACGAGAAGATGACATATATACATGAAAAACTAGTAATTAAGTCTAAAACATTCTAACTATAGGAGACAACACAATATAAAAACAGGCTATAGATCGCCAACAACTGAAGGTAGATCACCATACTAGGGACCATGGGGACTTAGAGTACCTTTGCTACCTGCATGGACCCTAGTTGGATTTACACCATCCCTCCAGCCGCTGGCGATTGTAGGAAGAGTTTAGCCGAATTTTAAAAGAACAAATATACTACGTTTAAAAATCAGGTAAGCATAACTTTAACTTTGAAAGTTTTGGGACTTACGTATCCTCTCAGGAGGACAATACTTTTACGCTACTTCAACCCCCTTCGAGGATACAGCCACTAACAATCACAGTTGCTAATTTATACTACCACGTTTAAAATACCATTTATCTATTTACAAATCATTTAACAAATCTATTTTTTTTAAAAATGCAATAATTAAATGAGAACTGACATTATTAAAAAGATCCTTCATAGTTTTTACTTTGAAATAGTTATCCCTTGTGATGGAATATTCGATGCAGTCAAGCAAGACATGCTTGATTGTGATCCTTTCATCACCAAGGATACAAAACGGAGGCTCTTCGCCTTTCAATAACTATTCGTGAGTATATCTAGTATGGCCAATGCGACATCGTCGCATAAATGACCTCTTCAAATCTGGACTGACAACCCAAGTAGGTGTAACCAATATAAGGTTATATTGCATGTAATGTATTAGTACATACCTGGGTATCCCACTTCTTCTGCATCAGATCACGGATGTAGGTTCTAATGCTAGCTTTGCAATCAGAGTATGGGATAAGAAGTGGTCTCACAGATTTGTTGAGTGCTGCCTTAGCAGTAGGATCAGCCATTGTGTTCCCAGAAATGCCAACATGGCTGGGTAACCAACAAAAGACGATGTCGCATTGACCAGTAGCAAGTTCAGTATACAATTCAATAATCTCTGTTAAAAGTGGATGCTTACAAGAACGGTTTTAAATGGTCTGAAGGCAGAAATGGGCTTAACACATTGTGCCCATGTACGGTGTTTATCGAATCTAAGAGCGGCGTCTTCGGCGTGACGAGCCAACGCTTTAACCACTGAGGGCACAAGCTACCCCCACCGGACCCATCTGTAAATAAGTATTTATATGTTTTATATTTATTTCTTAATTGACTAAATTCTTGTTTATACTGTAATTCATTTGTTTCTGTTTTTTAAATGTGGTTAATGCTAGGTCAACTTGTGGCCTAACCAATTGCCAAGGCGGAGAAGAAAGACTGACTGACTGAGTTTAGTTTTACGCGCTTTTAGCAATATTCCAGCAATATCACGGCGGGGACACCAGAAATGGGCTTAACACATTGTGTCCATGTGGGGATCGAACCTGGGTCTTCGGCGTGACGAGCCAACGCTTTAACCATTAGGCTACACCACCGCCCCTTTTAGAATAAAGAAAATATATGAACTGTAAATTAATATCATGTGTAACTATCCTGAAAAGTATGTGTGAGAAGTAGTAGTTGAGTTGAGTTGAGTTGAGTTGAGGGGTTGGGTTTTACGTCACATCGGCATTATTCCAGCCATATAGTGAACAAGTTTGCATTAACGGATGTATAAGATCTTTAAGTGCGTGATATGTTATGTAATGCAAGTACTGATGCAATTGGTGTCGTCTCTTATGCTTTCTTGAAATTTGGTTGCAATATCATATAAACAACTTTACGGGGTGCACAGAGGCTGGACATATGCATTCTCGAAGATGATTCCTTCTGTGGCCAGTTTGTCGATGTTTGGGGTCTTCAGGATTCCGGAAACCAACATCATTCCAGCCTGTATAAACACAAAGAGTTCCCTTAATGGTCGGATATGTAGACTATACACCACCATTATTATTATATATACATAAGGATTAAATAATAGAAACATATAAACTGAACACTAGTTAACTTGATATCGACTTTCTTACTGCCTGTAAAATCTACACTCACCCAGGTCATCTGCCACAATGAACACGATATTTGGACGTTGTGCTGATGTCAGGGATATTGAAACTAGGAACACAGCAAGGAACTGTTGAGCCTCCATCACGCTTGCTTGGTAATCACAAATGTGAACCTTTGTCAGTACCTACTTTTAAGAAAACGTTCCAATGTCTAGACTAGAATGAGAGTGATAAAGCGTTTCTATATCTGCTTGACCTTCATGTACTGGTATGCGTCAACACCACATTTTGCAAGCTTTATCAGTGAAAGTGCTAAGTTTTAACACATGAAACAAATGTTAGTGAACTTACAGGATATTTTCAAACGTCATTTACTGGCAATGAGCCACGGAATGTACCTACAATGACGCACATTCCTGTCAGATAACGGAAATATGCAACAATTGTGACATAAAACCTCGTCACATACAAAATAACACGTGCAGACACGCTTTGCTGCAGACGTGAAGTATATAGCAGGCGTATAACATGAATACTTACAATAAGCTCAGGTTAGGCACTTTCTTCATCAGCTGACGAACATCAACAAAAAGAACTTCAATCCTTAAATAGTCATATTTAGCTGACGGATCACAAGAATGTACGTCTCCTCCATAGCTTTTGCACACTATAGTAAGCAAAAATATCTTCACATGTGTTAGTGTATGTCCCAAACATACCCATCTAGAACTATTTGTGTTGCTGGTGGATAAATCTGGCTTAACGCCGTAATGAACGTACACGAAAACAGGATTAGACATCAAGGTGTTCCTGGTGCACTCTCCACAGTCAACAGTAGCACGATGGCCTCATGCTCTGATTTCACTGGCACTAGCCATCTGTACTGGAGCTTGTTCACTACTGTATGTCTCCGTCTCCCATTTACAACTGGCGATGTGACGCTAAATATTAACTCACTGACACTCATCAGTGTCTCAAATTATTGTCCTCCTGAGAGGGTACGTAAGTCCCAATACATTCGAAGTGGATTTAAACCTACTACCATTTTAATCGTAGAATATCTGTTCGTTTAATTTGTGGCTAGATTTTCTCAAATTGCTAATAGCTGAAGGGATGGTGTAAATCCAGCTAGGGTCCATTCAGGAAGCAAATGGACTGTAAGTCCCCATGGTCTCTAGTATGGTGATCTACCTTCAGCTGTTGGCGATATATAGCCTATTTTTATATTGTGTTGTCACCTATAGTTCAAATATTTTAGATTTAATTACTAGTTTTACATGTCTAACTGTGATATTCTAGTTGTTTTACTGTCCTTCGTCGGCGGGTTTTTATGATATAGATATATTTCGTTTCAATATCAAATGTTCTCGTCACGATATGGCTGAAATATTGCCGATGTGACGTTAAATATTAACTCACTCACTCATCAGTGTCTCTGAGCCATATATCTGATCCCGACAGTCGCCTCTTGCATGGGTTGTTTACGAACAGTTCAAACCCGTATTTTCATGAGATGTAAGTGACCCATGTAGGTGATGTGCAATATACATGTGAGTGAGTGAGTTTAGTTTACGCCGCTTTTAGCAATATTCCAGCAATATTACGGCCGGGGACACCAGAAATGGACTTCACACATTGTACGTATTCGGGGAATCGAACCAGGAACTTCGGCGTGGCGAGTGAAAGCATTAACCACCAGGCCACCCAACCGCCCCTCAATATACATGTGCGCTTGTTGGTAAATGTAGAATTTAATCTTGAATTTGAGACCCATTTTACCTTCAAACGTCTCAATGGCCCGCATATGTCACAAATCACAGCCATTTTGCATGTTTAGAGCACTACATTATGCTCCCTGCTAATATATGTGGGTGCACTCGACTTTCATTCTCAGTCCCTTGGTCAGCATGCAACCCAGTCTACATTTGAGACCAAGAGATATATTTCGAAAAGAAGGCATTTGCCTAGGGCTGGATACACTGCATATACTACGTGTGCGTCAGTTTTGGCGTGAGGTTATGTCAAAACAAATTTGATTGATCTCTTCAAGAATTCCCAGGGCTGGATCATCCATCATCACTAGTGCACACAAAAAGAACGTGTCTATTCTATTTTTATGCTCTTCCCAAGTTTGATGTCATTTGTTAGTCGCTGCCCAGAAGCGCCGATAACCCAGGATAACCCAAGCTGCCCATATGGCCCCAGAAGGTTAATAGTCGCATGACTCATCTCACCGGGTACCCATTTACTGCTTGGTGAACAGAGGCAATTTTGAACAAACTCACATGACTCAGGTGAGACCACATCTACCACATGTGCTTTGTTGTGGGCAGGGCTGAAGTCCTAGAAACTTTCAGGAGTCAAGCTGCCAAACACGGCCATGCATCTCCGCACTCAACGTTGCTTACCTTCAACTGATTTGTGACCTGAGCTCTATGTACAGGACAACACACCACCACTCTTCCCAAGTTTGTTATAGACTCCGTGAAGTGCCAGGTGCTACTTGTGTGAAGAATAGTAACATATTATGTTGACTGGACCTTTCCTTATATGGAAGTGTGTGAGTAGATCTGTTCTCAGAGATTCCTAGCGATTTCAGTTATCTGTCTTCTTAATGGGCTGAAAATGACGATGAACTCCCAAATTTCCTGTGTGACGTTCTTCTTCACTGAGTGTTTCACACATAAAGCTTTATGTAGCAATCTCCCACACGTCAGGAACTATAGATGTACTGATTGTGTTACCAACATCCACCTCGCTCGTTTGGTTTGGCTATGGCATACTTTAAAAAGAATAGACGTTAACACTACGAATGACCCTGTACCCATGACGACCCATGACGCATGCAATAACTCTAACCGAAATGATGTACCTCAAATACTGAGTCATATTTTTAGTGTTTGCAACACGCCTCCATATAGCAGTATATTACACATTTCCGAAGCTGTTTGAAAAGGTGATTTATTTGTCTTAAAAATGCAAGAGCTAATAATCTTAGTGAGTGAATGAGTTAAGTTTTACGCCGCACTCAGCAATATTGCGGCTATATGGCAAAAATAATTTTAATCACTACCGTTTCAGAAGTTGTGTCATTAATTGTGTGTGTTTTTGAAATTTAACATCTGTTTTTAAAAAATATTTCTACAAGTTATAGGTTCAATACCTGTCACCTTTAAATACTAAGGAAGACGAAATGCATATCCGATCTCAAAACAGCATGGAATATACTAAAATATCGACCCTACCTTTCTCTTATCATGGCTTTCTAGAGTGCCATGTGACTCTTGCTCAAAAATATTCAAGAGTCAAGGCCTCAGTGAAGTTTTCAACATGTCTTAAGGTAGACTTGTGAAATCACTTGCAAATTTAACCCATCAGTGACAAAGTGATGCCTTGTGCCGTACGACCACGTGCAGGTCCACGTGTGTATATCTAGTGTCTTGTCGAAATCGAGTATAACCCTTTATATCACAGAATATCTCTGGACAATAAAACAAAATTAGCTTCACAAATTGACTATACGTGGTAAACCGTGTCCAGGAAGAATAATATAATGACATCATTTATCATACTCACGACCTGAATGGTGGTGTATGGAGAGATGGCCCGTAGTGGTCTGAGCGAAATGGCCCACGGTGCCACAGTTTATCACGTTAAGGCCAGAACCATAATCTTGATGGTTATAGTTTCAACATAGTCAAAACTTCATGAATCGACTTTAAGCGTCATATTTTCATTTATTAAATGGCGATCAATGATAGCATCATATAACATGGACACTCAAAGCAAACTCTTATTTATTTCTCATATGAGACAAACACAAATAAATTCATAGCACTGTCACCTAGTATTTCAGCGATACTAACTTCATTCAGGCGGTATTTTAACAGGCCACTCTATTTCAATGGCAATGGAATATTATTGATATTATTAGACACAAGTTAATCTAAAGGTCAACACCATCCGGGGCTCCAGACGTTTCCGAAGTTTTTAGGGTTAGATGCAGGATCAGGAGGAGGGTAGAGGGCGGGAACCATCTGCTTCCGGTAGTCCTCTATCCGGGCTCTTAGTTTGTCAACAATGTCCGGCATCTGTGCTGCCAGGTCGTTATGCTCAGTAGGATCCTCTGTTAATGGAGAAGGGTTGACACTGACGTGTTTTAAAACAACATGTTTCCTTATCAATGTCTATCAATATCGATCAAGGTGAATTCTGCTCGTAACGTAACAATCATTTTAGCAAACCTATTTGCGTAAATAAATATTTTCGGCACCTACCACGTATATTGTAGAGCTGCACTGGACTATCGCCTTTAAAATATACAATGGTCTCATAAAATTCCCTTTCTGTTCCGTTCATAGGCTTGTGCCAACCATCAGGTCCACCTGGGTAGCCCATTATCAGCTTGTAGTCTCCAACCCTGTGAACAACAAGTTTCAGTTCTTTACACCTGCACTCTTCGTTGAGCATAATTTATATTATTCATTTTAGAAATGTTATTCAACATTATGTAAAGAATTCCCATAGTTAAAGTTCAGTTCTTAATTTAGATCTTAATTTATTGGCACAGAGATAATGTCTAGGTGTTCGTGTCTTGTCTTGATGTATACTCGGTTAAAGACGGATATTACAAAGTAGTCTTTGGAACCTGATACCGTATTCCAGCATGGCCCTCCACTGCAGGTTCGAAGTCGTCAAGGTTGTATATAAACTCGGTCCTTGACGACGGAAGGCCATTCCTGATGGATTCCCAGTGACTTATACCATCGATTGACGTCTCTACAATGATGTTGATAATCGTGACATTCAAGTAATATCGTCTAAAAGTAAATAGAGTATAGTATGACAAACTTCACATTTCCTTGCCTATTCATTATGATTTCGTTATTTCACAAAATTGTGTCTTTGGTAAAGGGCAAATTTTAAGTCACACGAATTTTGTCTTTGCAACAACTTATCAACACTGCTATCGCTATTGTGTTGTTGCATATTCATGATAATATCTACTCTCTTGCCTGTTGTAGACTCGAATATTAATGGTTCGAATAGTGCTGCGTTTAAATATTGTATAAAACAGCAAAAACATAACAAAAAATAACCAAATGAAATCTCTGTGCTTATTACCGGGCGTTCCACCTGCTGCTGTCACTAAGGTAGGCTTCCAGTCTACAGCATGCATCATTCTGTAATGACATGAGTCAGTGATTACCGGAGTGTTTCTATCTGTACTGACCAGTCTCGTTAACATGGTATCTCCAGCACAGAGGAACATTAGTCGCCCCGTGTGTCACTATTTATGTACTGTCATTCTACTTCTCTTTACTTTGTCCAACAATATACTCATGACATCAACGAACCCATTGTAAGTTGTCTTGGTTTTCTTTAGTCCAGCACCGTACATGAAGGATGCCCCTCTGGTGCCCCCCTCCCAGATTGAGTGCTTCCCTCCTCCTCAGAGGCCAGTTGCAAGCATAACTAATGATAGGACCGCCATTCTGAAGTGAAATGAAACTCCTCAAAGGTGAATAATGCAGAATGCAGATATTACTATTCCACATGTTAACAGTTTAACGAATTTTATTGATTCTTTGAATTTTCAATTTGCTGCACAATCAACAATCTTAACCAAGGCCGTTAGGAATTATGTATGATTCAGGATATTTGTACTCATAAACGAGATTTTCATGAATCCTTTGCTATTATGGTATACACTTTCTCAGCATTTCGGTCTATAAATTATGAAGACGACTCTCCTTACATCAGCTGTAAACAGAATGAGTGTGTTTTCAAACAACCCCTTCTCTTTCAGTGCCTGTGTAACGTTTCCAACTGCTTCGTCGAGGGCAGAAACCATCCCTGAAAATATATCATATCAGCATACAATCATGCATGTAAGCATTGTGTCATGTTTGAATATATTCACTCTTTAACATGGATTCCCCATTTTGGCACATTAAATTAACTCCGTGGTGGCAAGCCCTCAGCAGTTTCAGGCTAAAGGTATGATAACACGGAACTAGTCTAATTGTTAACGTCATTTGGTGTGAGACGGCCTGGCGACGGGCCATCGACTGCAGCTCGATCCACAGCTCGAGTTGGAATGGTGAAGTTTCGGAGGAACGTGAGAAGTGAGAACAAACTGTACCTGAATATGTCCTGCGGCCTTCTGTTCATCACATTAGGATACATGTTGTAGTACTTTTCAGGAACCTGAAAATAATACGATTGGCGAATTAAAAGTGAATCTGCATGACATATGAAAATCGCAGCAACTGACATATCTGGTGATTTGTGCTGATATTTGCCCCCGTGAGATAACATTTACAGTATATGAAAGTGTTGAGTAGAGACAAATCGTCATCAAGAACATTTTCACAATTGCTAAATACATTATGCAGTCCAAATGCATTTAGGCTAGTACATCACATCATTCAATCCTGAAAACAACTGCACTCTCTAGTCTGCATGTCTAATCCCAGAACCTCCTGATTCCATTCCTCTCAGAAGTGGCGTTGACCTTGTGTAATCTAGTACCAAACCCATTTCCATTAAAACACGAATTAATATAGAGAGAGCAGATGCAAAGTTCTCCTAGAGAAACTAGTTGACAGAAGACTTCACCCTCAATCGGAGCATGCACATTCTGATAGGGCAGGTACATAAACAGAGGCTGGGAGACGTTGTGTTCGTTGATAATGTCAATAGCTTCTGGGTGAATGTATACTGCAACAAAGACAGAAAGTTTGGAAATATTTAGCATTACCCTGCACGTTTTGGTGTAGTGGCCTGGTGCATGTCACTATAAAGGTCGGGGTTTGATTCCTTGTTATGGGTGCAATGCG